GCGGAATCGCGATACAGCGCTTTGGAGAGGGAGCTACTCGCGATAGTGTGGGCTATCGACCATTTCAGGCCATACGTATTTGGGAGGAAGTTTCGAGTCCACACCGACCACAAACCCCTGCAGTGGGTAGGGAAACTTAAAGAAACCTCAGCTAGGGTCACGCGATGGAAGGAAGTCCTTAGTCAATACAATATAGAGGTGGTGTATAAGCCGGGAAAGGAGAACGTGGTGGCGGACTGGCTCTCGAGGGCCATCATGATCAACGCGGTAGAAGAGGACGGGGGAGGACCATCGCGAGACGTGCGCCAATTCTTGAGTGAATGGACTCCCGACGGCGAAGGAGCGGAGGATATCGTCGGTATAGATGACAGGGGAGAGTCCCCGGAAGAGGAGAGCTCAGCGGAGGAAAGAGCAGTGGAAATGGAGGAGATAGACGACATCATCAATGACAAGCATCGTCAGGTAATCTGGAAAACGAGAGTAGCAGGGATGATGAAAATAGATTATCGAAGATATGGGAAAAGCAAGATTCGCGTCATCTGGTCGCAACCCGGGGTGAGTGAAGAGCAAATTTGTACGGCACTGAAGGACGCCACGGAACCTGGAAAGACGCACCATCTTTATGTGGGGAATAACACGGTATGGGATAAAATAAAGCGGATGTGGAGATCCGAGCGAATTGGTGTGGACAGAACACTCATCCGTTGTAAGTACGCAGTGGAAACTATACAGGATGAGGAACAGCAACAGGCAGTCACATTAGCTTATCACCAGGGGAAAACCAACCACCGAGGCGTGAACGAGACACTGCAGGCATTACGTCGAAAGTATTTCTGGTGGGGCATGAAAAAATCCATCCAAGAGGTCATAGGGAAATGCGAGGTGTGTATGCGCACGAAATATGATCGACACCCCCCCAGAGGGATTCAGGAAGAGACACCGACGGGGAATATGCCACTACAGGACCTCCAGATTGATACATTTACCTGGAGAGGGTTCAAGTGGGTCACGGTCATCGACGTCTTTAGCAAGGTAGCTATGGCACACCAGGTCATGGACAAGTCTGCCAACGCAGTTGCGGAAGCCCTACAAACCTGGGTGCAGTTCTACGGGGTCCCCGAGAGGATCACATCGGACAGTGGTAGGGAGTTTGACAATGCCGCGATTAGGGAGGAGGTGAAACGACTAGGGATTCGTTGGCATTATAACACCCCGGGACATCCTAAGGGTAGAGGCGGCATTGAGCGGTTGCACAGCACGCTGAGTGATCACATCCGGGTGTATCAGGGGGAAAAAGGGTTGGAGCCGGATGTTGCAATGAAGAAAGCGGTAACAGCCTACAACCACTCGATTCACTCCGTCACGGGATTTTCGCCCGTGGAAGTACTATTCGGGATGCGCAGGCCAAGGCGAGATTGCGGGGAAACAACGGTTAATGAACCATTAGTCGAGCAAATCCAGAGCAATAGGGTGGAGATGGAAAAGACGTGGGGAAGAGTAACGGCGAAAATTAAGCGGGAAAAGGAGAAGCGGGTAGAGAGGCAGAATGTTCGCGTACGTGACCAAATGGGTGATCTAAAGATCGGGACAATAGTGTACCGTAGAGTAGGGACCAACAGAGGGAAACAATTGTTACGATACGAGGGTCCATTCAGAGTGATTGCTATTAGGGAGCATAATCTACTAACGATCGAAAGCGTTAATGAACCTAGAAAGAGGAGAACGGTTCACATTGAACAATTGAAGCTCCCAATGATAGAACCGGAACATAAACTAACGGATTCGTAGTACCCTCACCACGTTATAACAAATATGTTTTTTTTTGGTTGTCTAAGCAAAAATATGGTGTATTTTTTTTTTATGTGTAAATAGAATCATAGCAATACAGTAGAGGAAAGTGTATTATTTTTTTTTTCTTCTCTGTTTTTTTTAGGATTTTAAGAGTTCTGTTTTTGGAAGCAAGTGTTGTGTTTAGTTCTGTTTTTTTTTATTTCTTTGTATTATTGTATGTCTCGAGTGAGTTTTACTTTCTTTCAACTTTATACTTGTAAAAACAATTGTAAGGTGTTAAGACTGATAATCGTTAGCTCCGATCTAGGAATATCTAAGTTTCCGAAAAATCCTATTCGTAAACTGGTGGGGGGGAGATAAAGACCGGAGACCGGCGATATCAGCCTTAATACCGTCCTGAATGTAAATAAACATATGAAATGTATATAAGGAGGATTACTAAAGGAATAAATCAGTATCTTTTCTGAAACCGTGAGTGTTGCATTTCAAGCCCTTTCCTTTCTTTTTTTTTATTGTTAGAGTCCGCCGACGCTTAACTTATATATATATGTATATATATGTATATATATATATATATATATATATATATATATATATATAATAATAATAATAATAATAATAATAATCATAGGGGTAGTTACCTGTTACCTATGTTAGTTGACGGGGAAATGGGAAAAGATGAAAAACAAAATTTTAATGATTATAGACTATTGTTTTTGTAAGGAGGCAAAAAATATTCGAATATGTGTTGCAGATATTTTCTTTAACTACTTTGTGGTTCCTGGATTATTTTTTTAAAATTAATGAATATTATAGCTTCAGAAAGTGGTCATTTTTGGTGATTAAGAACTGTGGCAAGTACGGTTGGGTTTTCAAAATAGCTATAATATTCATTAATTTAAAAAAAATAATCCGGTAAACCACAAAGTAGATAAAGAAAATATCTGCAACACATATTCGAATATTTTCCGCCTCCTTAAAAAACAATAGTCTATAATCATTAAAATTTTGTTTTTCATCTTTTCCATTTCCCTGTCAACTTACATAGGTAACTACCCCTATGATTATTATTATTATTATTATTTTATATATATATATATATATATATATATATATATATATATATATATATATATATATATATATAATGTCCATTCTCAATATAAATATATACTATAAACAGGCACAGGTGTTTCTATACTTATACTATTAAAACTATGTAATCCTTAGTATAATATATATTTATATTAAGATTAATATTGTTATTCTTAGAATATTATATAATATATTTGTTATATATCAATTCAATTCATTACAATTGTCTTTATTATAAATATTATTCTGCTAACCATTGTATACCTTCAATCAAACTATGTTATATTTATATTGATTGGCACCTCTTGCTTACGTTCATTTCATTACTAGCCAATAATAACAATTCTGTAACCATAAGAAACAACACAAATCTTGTACACATCTTGAATATTTATTCAGCCAATTATTTACATTCTACAAACAGAAATGTTACCTCCCTCGCTCCCTCCGAATATGTTTACCTACCTTTTGCGATCTGAAAAAGCACAACTGGGAAATCCTCCCCCGACCCTTTCACTAACCTACCAAATGTGTCAGTACTTGAATACCTTCAGTGCTCGAACTACGGTTAGTAAGAGAAAATATTACAATTTTTATAAATAGATTATATATATTAGTTTTAAAGGAAGGAGATGGTCCGAGGTGGCAGTCATAAATAGGCTAATAGTGGTAAAACTATTTTATTAAAAGCCTGGTAAAACTATTTTATCAAAAGCCTTAGCACTATTTAGCCTATTTATGACCGCCACCCCGGACCATCCCCTTCCTTTATAATGAAACGGTCAACTATTAAATATTCTATATTAGTTTTAGTTTGTATAACTTTTTACATATTTCAATTGCAACATTTTGTATTGTAATATTAGTTAAGATTCATGTACCATCTATCACTATAGTTTATTATTAACCATTATCGGTCGTGTATAATATATCTCTGATTGTATTTAAAAATTTTCAGCCCTGATGATGACCCACATGTTTGGGTTGAAACATCGGCACTAATAAAAACTTTTTAGTGACAGCTTCCTGAATATTCTATCACCTGTATATATTCTATGATATGTAGAACAGTCGACTAACTTTCTTCAATACTTAATGTTTATTTTCTTTGTACGACTATACATCTGAAGAATATGGATGGAATCAGGGACTCATAAAAATTCTTTTTTGTTTGTTATCAGAGACAACTGTAGTTTACTTATGTTAATTGTGTAAAATTCAATGAATGATTTACATTTTTTCATATTTACTAAGAAATGGTTCAATTTTTTTATGAAGTATTAATTATTTATAAGTTTACTATTTATTCTACAGCATTTAATTCATAAGAAATACAATCATTGATCGTAATTGGACCAAAATAAGAAGTTTTATTTAATAGTAAAAATTGTGAAAATGAGTTTCCTCCTTTTTTATTATTTGTCTATACTAATACTAGGCAAAGAATAGTACCATTTTTATTCAATTCAATGAATACTATCTATAGAAGAATAGTTCCGATATAACATTAAAATTTTAGACTATGGTATTCATACATAGAAACTGTTTGAAAATAGTGAAAATATTTTTAAGGATTTTATTCTTTTTTTTTTGGCGGGTGGATTAACATGTTCTATTTTAATCTATGATTAATTAATTATTAAAACATTTTAATGTCCCAATTATAATAAACAATCTAATAAAATGTTTAAATCACAATTATTATCTCTTATAACTCTCTCTAATCTTTATATTGAAACCATAAATTGTGTGGAGATGGTTGACCGTGATATAATATGAGAAGGAGTTGGTCGAGGGTTGTGGTCAAATAAATACTAAATTTTTAAAAAATGGTATTTTTAATTGTTTCGCCGATGTTTCGACTCACTTTGCAGGTCTTTATCTTCTTCAGGCACTGCAGGAAGCAGTTGATAGTAAAATGTCGGCGAAACAATCAAAAATACTATTTTTTAAAAATTTAGTATTTATTTGACCGCACCCCTCGACCATCTCCTTCTCATTAATTGTGTGGTTAAATAAACTATGTTACCAGCTTATGTTAATATTTATTTTTAAAAATAAAGATTTAGCAACATTTTATTTTTTTAAATTATATATTGTCTTCCATTTTACAGGAGATGATACCTGATGCTCATTTTGATTGGATTACTAGTGGTCTTGTTAATCCCCTGCAAGGTATGATTTAGTATGTTATTATGTTTTATCTCATCATGGTCTCTTTTGATTCATAATATATAGGGCTATAAATGAATTTCATTCTGTTCTTCTAGCTGCTATTTATACCTTGTTTTTTACCAGGTCCTTTTTTACTGATCTGTGCCTCATCTCTCAGGGTCTACTTTCTTCCTTGTTATTCTATTGTTGTCATTATTTTTCTATGGCATCACCATAGTTTTTCTAGGAGTGTCCTATCTACTTCCATTTAACGCAATCTTCCCACCTCTCGGACATTTACCATTCGGTACAGCAAATATCAACCTTTTAGGAATTCTTTCGTTACTAAGCCCAACAATTTTACAAGCCCATTTGATTCTCCGCGATTTAATCACTCAATTATATTAACTGGATACAGTTCACACAATTCGGCATTGTGCCTGAACTCTCCGGTTAACTCATTTTTCTTCGGTCTTACGTAATACTTTATTTTCAAAAACCTTAAGACGTTGCTCATCCCTTAATGTAAGCGGCGATGTTTTGCATCCATAAAGAACTGTAGGTAGGATAATGGTTTATAGATTCTAGTCTTTAAATTCCGGGACAAAATGCGCGAGATAAGTAGTTTTGTCACAGAAAAATAACAAGCATTTCCCACCTTCAGCCTAACCTTAATCTCCTCTTCAATTTCATTTTTTCTAGTTATCATAGACCCTAGATACTTAAACTTCTCTACCTGTTACCTTCTATAGCAAGATCGCCATTTTTGCAGCTAACCATATGTTTTGTCTTATCCGTGTTTATTTCTCGCTCTAGTTCTTTACTGCCTTTCATTAACGTTGTCGTATTTAGTTTTATAGTTTTTGTGTCTTCGCTTAACAGGACCAGATCATCCGCATAGCCAAGCAAGGGTGTTTTCCACCCAGATCCAACCCTTTTTCGGTACGCATTACCTCCCTAATGGCATGTTCTAATGCTAAATTGAACAGGACAGGCGAAAAGGAATCACCCTGTTTTAAACCCAAACGAACGTCAAACTTTTCCGATAAATTATTACCGTTTCTAACTTTATTGAGTGTTTCCGTCAAGCACATCCTGACTAGATTTACTAATTTTTTTGGAATCCCCTGCTCAATTAGAATATTATACAGTTTCTGGCGGTCAATAGAATCATAAGCCTTTCTGAAATCAATATACAGCTGGTGAACAATACTGTTGTACTCTAATTTTTTCTCCAATATTTGTCGTAAAGAAAATATTTGATCAATAGTCGAACGATTCCGTCTAAATCCGCATTGGTAGCCACCGATAATTTCCTCGACTTATTCTGTCATTCGACTTGTTAAGATTAAAGTGAATATTTTATAACATACCGGAAGGAGTGAAATTCTTCGATAGTTATTACAATCCGTCCTCAGACCCTTTTTGTGAATCGGAATAAGAATAGATTCTTTCCATTCATCAAGTAATTTCTCATTCATCCAGATTTTTTAACCTACAGATGTATTTTAGAAACTCCAGCTTTCCCGCATGCCTTAATTAGTTCACAAGGAATACTATCAGTTCCCGCTGCTTTGTAAGATTTTAATTTTCCGATAGCTATTTCAACTTCCTCTGTACTCAGTTCATCTATTAATGGTTCCGCACTCTGGTACTCAGAAGGAGGACACAGATCATAATTTCCCATATTTAAAATACTGTCAAAGTGGCTCTTAAACTTATTTAATATGTCTACCGGATTGTTCAGAAATTGTTATTTTCATCCCTAATTCCAGACGTGACGGACCCTAAACATTTACATGATCTGTTTATACCTTGGACATGTCTCTTATGTTATTTTGAATTCTATTAGTTTCTATTTCAATTATTTTATTTCTAAGGTACTCCTTTTTTTATTTTTGAGCAATTTTGTTGTTTTATTCTTTGAGGTTCGGAAGTATTCCAGATTGTCTTCACTAGGATTATTTAGAGCTTTTAATTTAGCAGCTTTTCTTTTTTTGCACATGTTTAAGCAATCTTCTTCAAATCACGGTTTGTTATTCTTATTTTCCTTTTTTCCTAGACACGAGTTACCGACTGCTTTAATATTATCCCTGATCTCTACCCATAACTTGTCAATATCCTCGCAATCCTTATCAGAAGGTTCTAAAACTTCAAACCTATTCTTAACATCTAGCTCGAATTGAGTTCTAATTGATGGATTATTTCATTTGGACTGTTTTCTTTTCTCTTTTTTATATTAAGTTTTTGTCGAAGTTTTGTGATTACTAATTCATGATCCGACCCAAATTCTGCTTTGTGATAAGGCCGTACATTTTTTTCTCATTAGGTAAAAAAAACTGAAACACCAATTAAAATTAAATTGTTTACCAGCTTTTCAACCCTAATATGTGGGTCAACATCAGGGCAAACAGAAAAAAAAATATATCTATATAAAATTAATATAATGAGTCTTGAAACATTCAGTTTTTAAGAGTTTTATTGCCAACATTTTAACCCAAGCTTATTGGTCATTGCCAGGGCATGTTACTAAACACTTAAACACGTGCTGGTTACATGCCCTGATGTTTACCCACAAGATTGGTTGAAACGTTGGCTTTAAAAATCTTTATAACTGACTGCGTCCTGACTGTCTATCAACTATGATATGTAGAACAGGCAATAATTCAAAATTAATATAAATAAATACCAAATTGTACGGCCTTCAAATCATTGGTAATCATTAAGAAACTATTTATTTTTGTTAATCTCTATTTCTGTACCTTGCTTTTTCATATTTGCAAATTTTTATTTCTATATATTTTTTGTATACTTTTATTTATTGAATTGTTTTTGTTTTTTTTACTGATTATTTTGTTCATTTATTTTTACTTTTGATATACTAATATTTTTCATTTATTTATAACACAAAATAATTTTTTTAGCTTATTGTAATGTTTTTATTACCATTATCACATTTGTACGTTCCTTTTTCTTTTTTACCTTTTTTTTCCTCTTCTTTACATACTTTTATATTTATCATTTTTCTGATGATTTTTTTTTTTTTTAATTTTTAGTCATGATGATGCCTCACAGTTTGGGTCTTAAAGTTGGCAAACTCAATAAACCTAAGTTTTTTTAAAGTTTTTTTTTTACTACACATTCTGACCATTTTTTAACCTTACAGTTTCATCAGTCAACTATCTCTTAAAAATATTGCTTTATTTATAAATACAAACTTTATACAATTATAAATTATGATAATTATGTGCACTATACATTTTTGGCTTATTGAACTGGAAAAAAAAATAGATTTTCATATATTTTCTATAGAAATTTTATTTAGTTTCTATACAAAAATTATTTCCCATTTAATAATAATAAATTAGACATTCTTAACTACAGCAATTAAAAGTCATCAGCGTTTCCTCACTCTCCATTATCTTTTATGACTATATGTTTGTTTGTTTATTTAAGCTTTAAGGCGTAAAACCATAGGGTCATTAACGCCTGTGAGTCGGTTATATTTGTAAACTCTTTAGAGGAAAAATAAAAAAAAGAATGAATAATCAAAAATTAATAATAGATAGATAGAATAATAAATGAAAAAGATATTTAAAAATGTATAAAAAAATGAAATATATTTTGAAATAAATATAAAAAAAGAAAGCACAATAAAATAAAAATTATATTTATTTTTATATTTTATTTAATAGCCTATGGATTTTAAGAAATTTATCACTGTTTTTATGTTTGATTCGTTGTTGCTTAATACTGCTGATATATCCGGTTTTAGAGATAATCGATTTAGGCTTGAAGTATAATAAGTGCATTCTTGGAAAATATGATTGATTGTGAGAGGGCTATTGCAGTGCTGACAATTTGGTGGTGGCTGCTTAGTGATGAGATGTACATGAGTTAGGTTTGTGTGTCCTATTCTTAACCTGGTCACGGCGACTCCTCTCTACGATTAGGGGTTTGATGTGGTCCAGGGCTTCACTGATTTTTTAACAACTTTTAATTTGCTAGGTGGGCTTTCGTTCCACATAGATTGCCAACTATCCAATATTTCCTTTTTGAGAGGAAAACTCATTTCTGGAGGGGTCAGGATAGGAGTACCTCGGTCTGGAGCGCGAGTGCCTGTTTGGCTGCCATATCTGCAAGCTCATTACCAACTATACCCACGTGACTGGGAACCCATATAAAGCAAACCGATTTTCCCAAATTTTCAAGAGTGTGAAGATATTTGTGTATTTTAAGGATAACTGGATGTTTTGAGTATATATCATTTAAACCCTTTAATGAACTCAAGGAATCAGTTATCAAGACTATTGAGGCTGGAGTTATTGACATACAGAAGTGGAGGGCTGAGGCTATTGCGTGAAATTTCGCTGTGCATATGCTGCTTAGTTTATGTAGTTTTATTTTATGTGTGGAGTTATGGGTAACAAACGAAGAAGCTGTAGCATCATCGGATTTCGAACCATCAGTGTAAATTAAAAATGGTTCCAGAATATTTTGTAGTAGACAAGAAAATTCGGTTTTGTACTTGTAAGGTGAGATATTGCTTTTTATTTATTTTATGATAATAAAGTGATTCTCTCTCGATAGAGACAAAGCATCATTTTTATGGGTTTTGGTTTTCTATATTGTATAAAGTTAAGTTCTTAAGGGATTGAGCTGCTGAATAAATTCTGACAGTTCCCCTTTCTGACAGTGGGAGTGTGGAATTTGTTTTGTTTCTAAAAGCTTTAAAAAATTTAGGTTTAAAAATGTAGTTATGGGTGTTCATTTTGAGGAAGTAGCCTTGAAATGTAGTTAACAGCCAGTTTTTTTCTTCTAAATAAAAGAGGGGGTATTCCGGCCTCAGAACAGAGACTAAGGATGGGACTTGTTTGAAAAGCGCCAGTCGCTATCCTAATGCCTGCATGGTGGACTGTGTCGAGTTTGTTTAGGATCCGATTGTCGGGAACCTTTCATAAAGCACCCATAGTCTAATTTAGAATATACCAAAGCTTGATACATTTTTATTAGCCTAGGTC